GGCTCTCGCAGCCATCCAAGGTCTGATTGAATGAATGAGAGAACCGATGGTTTTTCGTCGTTTTGAGTGACTTTGAGCGAGAAAAAAAGAGTCAATGGGCTTCTGAGAGGCTCCTGTGATTCATTCACAGCGAGATATCACTCCAAAAGTCGCTGGAAAACAAGTGGGTCAGCTCTGTAGTACGTATAAGCGGGTCAAACGCGTAAGTGGGTCAGTCCTGTACTGACCCACTTACGCGGTCCGGACTGTACATCCATCGCTCCCTTTTTTCCGTTCTCTCTTTCGAGGCTGCTGAGCTCTCATCCTCTTTTTCGTCCCGCCCCTGATGCAGACCGACGCCCGTCCTGCCCGCCCGAAGCGCCAGGCCGCCATTCAGGCCGCTGCATCTGCTGCGGCTGCTGTGCAGATGAAGCGCAAGGCAGTGGATGAGCCGATGGCGCCGTGTGAGAGCAGCAGTGACTGCAGCGACTGGGAGAAGGGTCGACGTGTGCGGGGCGCCAAGAACAAGCGCAAGGCGCGCCGCGTTGGCAACAAGACCGTCAAGGGCAAGGGAGGGGAGGACGAGATGGACAAGAAGGGCGTGAAGCGGGCCAAGAAGACTAAGGCACTGACACCTGACGTGGACATGAAGGTATGTGTGACCACACACAGAGGGAGAGGTGTGGGAAGGAGCGAGATGGACGTATTTCACGTGTGTGTTGTATTCCACCACCCATGTGTGTGTGCAGGATGAGTTTGAGGCCGGTCCCGAGGATGCGTTGAAGGCTCTGTCCAGGGTGGCTTACAAGCTAAAGGCGCAACTCAACATGATGAACGAAGCCAAAGCAAAGGTACACACGTGGGTGCAGTCAAAAGCAAGAGAGGCGGGGAGAGATGAGAGAGCAGATGGCTATGTTTGTTTCTTTCTTTCTTTGTTTGTTTGTTTCTTTCTTTCTTTGTTTCCTTCTTTCGTTCAGGCTGAGCAAGTGTTGGATGTTAAGATGGCCATTCCCGAACCCGACACACAGACCAAACAGAATCGCATACAGGTGCGTGGGCAAAAAACGACACACACACACACACACACGCACATCGAACGCACCACACAGATCCATGGGTGTGCCTTCCTGGCCTGCCTGTGCGGTATGTTGCAGGAGGTCGAGCGTCACTTCTGCGTGTGGAAGGCGATGGTGATGAAGGACGCCAAGATGCAGGTGCGCAACGCCGACGAGACGGCGGCCGAGCAGATGGAAGCATGTATCAAGAAACTCGACGATCTGCAACACACAATGAACAATCTGGACAAAGAGGAGGTCAGTCCCACCACACCACAGGCACACGGAGAGAGAGGGGCAGGGGAGGGAGATGGTGTCCACACCATTCACTGTTTTCCATTTCCCCTGTCTGTGTATGTGTGTGATGTGCCGTCAGTTGCGTTCTGCTTTGGAGGAGTTGCCTGAGGCGCTGTGGATGACGACCGAGGAGGGCATGGGGCTCGGCGCCTACCTCGGCTTCCACACCTTCATGACCTCGCTCGCCCCCGTCTGCACCCACTTCCACACCCTCAGCCAACAGGCCCGCGTGCACCCCATACTGGACATACACAGCGACCCTCCCGAGCACATCGCTAAGAGACTGCCTGGTCGGCTACACCAAGACTACACACACAGCTGCAGAGCCACCCCGTGTGTCATTCCGTGTTTGTATGTGTGTGCAGGTCGTTTGTCTGAGTGTCGCGAGCTGACGTGCACCACCCACCGACTCCCACCCTCGTCGGTCTCCTCGAGCGATTCGCCCGCACGATCGAGGCCGTGGAGCTGCACGGCCACACCAAGCGCAGCAAGAGGCGGTACCGACGGCGGAACGAGTACGCGGCGCGCTGGAGGGACATCAAGGAGGCCGACCTGGACCGCAGATACAAGCCACTCAAGTTCCTCGAGCTGACACGGGCCGCCGTCAACACCGTGTGGGCCAACGCCACGAGCGAGCGCGCGTATGAGCTGCCGGCCCTGCGGCATCTGAGCGTGGCGAGTGTGGACATCCTGTACGTCCGCAGAGGCTTCAAAGGTATGGGCTGGGTGGACAACGAGGCCTCTCCTGGCCTGTCGTCGCTCCACCTCATGTACGATCCGGTGAGCGAACGAGGGAGCAGAAGAGAACAAACACCGGGGGCAAGGCAGGGGCATGTCGTGTCATATCGATGGATTGTTTGTGGTGTCGGTTTCTCACATTGTCTCGCAAGACGACCCCAACTGTGACCACATGGTGCGCCTCGACCAGATCAAGAAAAGCATCCAAAACACCAAGACAGGTGGGTCATACACAGGAAAGCACCCATATCGGCCCTTCTCCGTTTCATTCCGTCTCCATCAGCCAAGAGTCTGAGGAGTCTGACCGGCCGCATCACCATCAAGAATCAGGAGCAGTACTACCACGGCTGGTACGACAACAGATCTTCCGTCGAGCAATTCAAGGACCTCTTCACCGGCCCCATCGCCCCCAACAAAAGCCGCCTGCGCAAGGTGCAGCTCTCCCTGCCCGAAATCAGATCAGCAGACACCATCCAGGTGAGAGCATACCCTTGGCACAAGACACCGAAACCATGGTCATTGTGTCTCCTGTGCGTGTGTGTCGTTGCTTCAGAAGTTGCATTCGTTTCGCATTTCGTGTTTGGCCGACGGCGCGAGCGAGACCTACAAGCACTGCCCCGACCGCGGCCCTCCCGAGGGACTGAGAGTGCGCCTGCCTTTCACTGGCAGCACCGACACACTCACAGCCGCCATCGACACCCTCAAGATCTGCTGCCAGCAGGCCAAGCACGCGACCCTGCAGGCCAACGGCAACCAGGGCAACTATGCCAAGAGCACCCCCCAGCTCGGCTCGGTCGTCTTCTCATCTGCTCGTTTGCTCACTGTCGAGTCGGGCGGTTACGTGCAGGTGTCCGATCTGCCTGCCTACATCCGTCAGAACAGCGGGTCGATGTTCCCGAATGTCGAGTCTGTCGTGTTGAATGATGGGGGGCGTGATGCTGCATTCTACGAGCATGGTGTGGGTGATGTGCTGTCGGGTCTCACGTCGGCCGACCATTTGCAGTTTGAGCTCTCTGCCCGTGCCGACCCCGATGCTACGCTGTGTCTCGTGCCTGCCGGCTGTGCGTTTTTGCCAGCTGCCGGCAGCGACCTCGCCGTGACCATCAAGGCCACCGTCTCCCTCTATCCCATGTTCGGTGGGCAGCCAGGTCAAGTGCATCACTCAGTGCAGTGGCAGTTGTACGGTGGTGAGGGTGAGGCAGGCAGGCAAGTGCTAGCGGGCCGTCTGGCTGCTCTCGAGGTCGACATGAGCATCCGCTACAAAGAGATGCGTTTGAGTGAGAATGAGGCCAAGGCCATGTTCCGCTCGTTGGCTGAGGCGGCCGCTGCGGCCTTTGCGAGTTTTCCTAAGCTGAAGGGCATTGTGGTGTCGCCCTTTTCGCCCAAGCCCAAGTTCGGTCTGGTGGGTGTGTTTCGCGAGGCAGGCCAGAAGAGGTTCACTGTGTCGCATGGCGAGGGCAAGACCATCGTGCTGCGACCCAACACACACTCCAACAAGAAGCACAAGAGGCAGGCAGGCAGCAAGGCCACCAAGGGCAGCAAGGACAGCAAGGGAGACAAGGCCACGAAAGAGGCTGCGGCTGCCTGAGTGAGTGTCGTGTCTCTCCCTGTGTGTCGGTGTACGTGTGTGGGTTGGTGGAGCAGACTCACTCTGCAGAGAGAGGCAGGCCGCTTCATGTGGGTGGGTGCCGTTATTTTCACTGGATGAAGAATGGCGATGATGAGTGACCAACAGACAGGCACATCCCTGCCCCCTTTGCCCATGCCAGTGTCGTCTGAGAGACATGCCCCTTCGTGTGTGTTTCCGTGTCTCTCTGCATGTCGACGTCGTGTACGCAAAGACCGATCGCAGTATCATTCTCAAATCGGGCCAATGCAAATTGAGCCAATGGAAAGGCTACAGAGTCCCGTTGTCACCGCATGTTCGGACACCAAAAGCCGCTTGACCGCGACAGACACACGCAATGCATCTCAAATGCATGATGTGCCGGCTTGCAATCGCAGGCAAGCCATGCGGGTAGCCAGACAAATACATGAGACTGTATATATAGAGGCTGTATATACATGAAGATCGATAAAAGAGTGTCACAGCTCGATAAAACAGCAGCATCTGTTACGCCTGAACAGAAGCGAAACACGATATGTGCCGTGCTGTGCTGTGCCCCCTCCACTCTCCACTCCTTCTCTGACCTGCTGCAGTGTATAGATCTCCAGATCGGCACACGTGAACAGATGACTGGCAGCAAGGGTGGCCCATCCATGACTGTCGAAGCCGCCGAGATATGTCCTGCCGCCGTCGGGCAGCTCATCCTTCAGCACCCACTGACACCCGCTGCGAAGGTCGCCAGCCGGACCACCCTTGACGGACTGGTACCCCAACCACAAGCGGCCGCCAGCGATGGCCACCTTGCCGGCAATGTCCTTCGTTCCCGTCACCGCCCCCTCAATGCCGGCGACCTGCACGCGCTGCCTGTTGTAGGGCACGGTGATCTTGGTGATGCCCTGCGGCTCAAATGCGCCACTGATGGAGTAGAAGGTGACGGGGCAGGGTGTCGTCTCGACTGCCGTGGGGTCGGATGGCGGCTTGAGCTGCCCCTTGATGTGGCTGGCGAAGGTGTGGGCGCCGGTGTCCTTGAAGAGCAGCAGCAGATTGACCGCACCGCCCACCTTGGCGAAGAGGGCCTCATAGGTCCAGCCGTCACGCTCGCCCCTTACACACACAAAGAGGCAAGAGAGCGGGAGTGCTCTTGAACATCAGCAATGGCCCCTCCTTTGGCACTTCACTCACTTATAGAGGAGCTGTGCGGTCATCGGTGTGTCGGTCGCCATGTCGACGAGGGCCTGCAGGTCGTCAGCGGAGAGGATGGGGTCAGCCGGACGAGTGCTCCACACCTGACACGCACCACATCAGCAACACAATGGAGAGTCATGAGGTATCCATGGAATCGACGCTTCATGGCCATGTGTGGCTGACCTGGTACACTTCCAGTCGCGTGGCGGTGAAGTAATAGGTGGCAGCTAGTGTGGCCGATCCCGCCTCGTCGTAGCTGCCCATGTACGTCTCGCCGCCGTCGGGCAGATCATCCCTCCGCAGCCACTGCTGGCAGTGCCGAAGGTCGCTATTCGGCCGCCCATCCTTGTGACCCAGCCACAGGCGGCCGCCACTGATGGCGACCTTGCCGCATGACGCACCCTTGTCGGTCTTTACCGCCCCCTCGGTGCCGGCGACGTCCACACACTGCCAATTGTGGGGTATGTTGATTTTGGTGATGCCCTCCAAGAATGGGCCGCTGATGGAAAAGAAGGTGACGGGGCAGCCGGTGGTCAGTGCTGATGTGGGGTCAGCGGGGGGGATAAAGGGGCCGTCCATGTGGCACGCGAGCGTGTGGTGGTGCTCATCCTCGATGACGAACAGCAGGCCATACGCACCGGCCGCTCGCGCAAGCAACGTCTCGAACTCACAGCCGTGGATTGAGCTCCTGACGGACAAAAAAACATCATACCCGTGTGGTACAATTTCCCTTTTGCCATGTCCGCGATCCATTGCTCACTTGAAGAGGCATAGCGCGTGCATTTTGCCGGTCATGCTGAGCAGTGTGCTCATGGTGTCGGCAGAGAGTATGTTGGGACAGCCGTCGTCCAGCAGGCCGTACATCTCAACCGCGAGCGACAGCTCAACGTCGCCATCCTCACACGTGGGCAACTCGATGACGGCGTCGGCAGGGGCGATGCGACGGCGCCGGGCATAGTCCACCACCCTATGTGTGTTGTGAGAGCAAACCAGGCACCTATGTTTGTTTGCCCTGGACTCACACACATCTCGACTTACTTGTGGAAGTGGTTGAGAGAGGTCAGAACCGGGCCACTGTACCTGCACAAACAACAGCACGGGTGACACTCTCGTTGTTCTGACTCCTTATTGGTGTGCTGCCCGCAAGGCTCACTCGGTGAACCGCTTGTTGAGTGTTGTGAATGCCGCCAGGGTGGCGTCGGTGGTCGACACGACGTGTCCGTTGATGGTGAGCACCTTAGTGCCGCCCGTCCCACCACAGGACGTCTTGATGAAGTGGCCCATTGCGGCCATGAAGGCACGGAAGGCGTCAATCTCACTATCGCCGGGCTGTGGCTCGATCCGGAGGGTCGTCTTGGCCATGAAGCGGTCGTAGTAAAAGGCCAATGCAGTGTCACCACCGCAAGCCTGTCCTGAGCTCACCCAGCTGCTCCACATCTGACGCAGGCCGGCGGCCAGCCTTGACACAAACACAGCAGTATCCACGTATGACTGCGCTGTATCGCTTGTGAGCTGTCATCTCGGCGTGGCTCTCACCGAATGAAGAACTTGGGATCTGCGTCGATGAATGGCGTGCCGATGTCATCTTTGACCATCCAGTCCTCAAAGCGATGCAGCAGCACAGCCAAGCAGGTATCCCTTAGGCCTCGACGGAGCAGCCGGTCACGCGGGAAGGTCATGGGCGTCCCTCCCACGTTCAGCAGCATCTCTTCCGTGTCCTTGCCGGCCGGCGAGAGTGCGGATCCCATGGTGCATGCAGATACAAGGCGATGACTGCTGGTGTCCCGAATCGATAGATCTCGATGCAGCGAAGCCTCTGCGTTCTGCTGCGCGCGGGATGGGGGGGACGCCGGGCCTAACGGGGGTGGGATGATCGGTCTGCGAGCTCAGGTGGGAGATTCCAGACGGAAATGCTCTTCGTCAGTGCTGTGCTGACAGACTCTCTCACTGAATCGTCGTCTGGCGTCATGTCTGGCAAGGAGCCCATCGACGGCAAGACCGTTTGCGTGACCGGGGGATCTGGCCTCGTCGGTGCTCAGGTCGTCATCCATCTGCTGGATAGAGGTAGCCAGCCCATGGAGCTGCCGCTCCACGTTTCCCTCAGGGGCTCATTTCTCATTCCATCTTGGTCCCTTTCTGTCTGCAGGTTGTACGGTGAGGGCGCCGGTGAGGTCCATCGCCAAGTCTGGCCTGGAGCCCATCGCAGCCAAGGCCGACAAAGACAAAAAGGGCAGGCTTGAGCTCATCGAGGCCGACGTCACTGTCCCCGGTAGGTACAGCACGATGGACGATATATGGATGGATCCTGTCTGGTCTGCGTGATGTTCTATCGTCGCCGTCCAGGATCTCTGGACAGCGTGGTTGCCGGCTGCAGTCTGGTGTTTCATGTGGCCTCACCCGTGCCGCAGATCACCGAGGACGGCGGGATCCCTGACGATCAGGACTTCCAGCAGTTCATCCAGCCGGCCACCAAGGGCGTCGAGAACGTGTGGGCGGCCATTAAGAAGGCCTCGGGCAGCGTCAAGAAGCTCATCTTCACCTCCAGCATGGTCACCATTGGCGACTTGGCCGCCCAGATGGCCAAGGCGCGGAAAGACGGCGAGACGGTGGACATGCCGGTGATGCGGCTGTCGCTGCCGAAGAGCAAGGAGGGGGAGGGCAGCAGGGTGCTAACGGGGGACGACTGGATGGATGAGAAACAGCTGGAGGCAAGCCCAGGGCCACCGGCAATGAAGGGATATGCGATCTCCAAGGTGAGAAGGCAGGCAGGCAGGCAGGCAGGCCAGGCGCATAGGGAAACAAGAGCATGCCGTCCTGAATGTGTGTGTGTGTGTCAGATTAAGGCTGAGCGTGAGTGTTGGAAGGCGAGCGAGGAGTGCGGCATCCCTATGGCTACGATCCATCCCGCCTGTGTCATCGGCCCCCCTCCGCTGGTCAATAAGATCACCAGCTCTCTCTCTTTCATCAAACCACTAATCGAAGGTAAGATGACCGATCACACCGTGTGGTCAGACAGCCGTCGCATTGTGTCCAACCTGCTGTGTGTGTGGTGTGGTGTGGTGTGTGTCAGGCGTTGAGTTCACTGGGTTTCTGTCATTTTGTGATGTGCGTGACGTCGCCGATGCCCACATTGCCGCCGCTGAGCTGAGCAGTGCCAACGGGAAGCGTTTCATCGTATCGACAGATTTTGATGGTGAGTCAGGCAGAACAGACGGACGACACATTTGTCCAGGTAACCTCTCTCTCTCTCTCTCTGTGCGTGTGTGTGTGTGTGTAGTGCCTCCCCCGATGCTTTATGCCGAGCTGCAGAGGGCCTTCCCGCAGTACGACTACACGTGCCCCTACGAGTTCGTCGACGACGACCCGTCATTGTCACAGCCGCTCAAGCTCTTCGACACAAGGTGGACACCCAAACGATACCACACGCACAGCCGGGCTGGCCTTCATATCATGTTATCTGTGTGGTGGTCATCGTCAGTCCTCTGTCGTCTATCGGTATTCAACTGATGCCGTGGGAGCAGTCTCTCAAGGAGACGGCGGCCGCCATGATCGAGTCGAAAGCCGTCACGCCCCGGCCGAAAGGAGGCTGGGCGGAGACGGGAGGTGTGCTGCCGGCTGGCCAGCAGGCTGGGACCTATTGGCCGTTCAGCCCGTGCTCTCTCTGGTGGTGCTGCACGTCGCCGGGTGAGTTCAAAGAGGCAACCGCATGCACCATGCTGTGTGCATCGTGCAGTACGTCTCTCTCTCTGGCTATGTGTGTGTGCTGCAGACAGGACGGTCATCCCATGATGGTGGAGTGCGGCGTTGGGTTGGCTGCCAAGATGCGTGTGTTGCCTAGCAGTGCCAGCAGAGCTTTCTAGTGTGCCTCTAGCAGTGTGCCCTTAGCGCATGCTTTGGCACCTGTGTGACCGTGCGAGTCGTGTGAGAGCGAAGCCCGCCGCAGTAAAGCGGTCGGAATGAATTAGGTGACTGCTACATGACATGGTCAATTTAAGCCTACTTGAGACTTATGGGACGTGACAATGGAAAATAGATTCACTTCCTGGTCGTCTGAGGCAGTGAGTGACCCTTGTATTATACACAATATCGACATCTCTCTAGTCACTAGTCAGCCAGCGGATCTGATCTGCGTGTCTACTCGAGCCGCGTCAGCTCGAGCCTATCCGATTTAGCCCACTGCAGCCGAAACTTGGTGCTCGAGAGGTTGAACAGGGCGTGGCAGCCGCAAACCGTTTGGCGATATCGCAAGCCAGAAAGTTGTCGTAGAAGGTGACGTATGTGCGCTTAGTGCCCTGCATCGCATCGCATTGCATGGCATTGCATGCAGCAAAGCAACAGGGCCATCCAGCAATGCGTTTGTTCCTTCGTCCCTTCTTGCCTTGACATCGCTGGCTGCCTGCAGGAAGGCCAGCACACTGCCGTGAAGCCACTCGAGTCGCGAATCATGAATCCCGAGACTCAAATGATCCGTCAAAAAACCTACACACATACATACATACAATTCAGCCCCGTCGCCGCGATTGTTGTTAGCACGTTGTCTGCCCACCTTCTACGTAGAGGCACAGCTCCTCGATCGGCGGCAGCGGATTGCGGTTCTTGCCCAGTTCATGAAATGAGGGTCTGCCGGTCAGGCTGGTTGCGGGCAGCTCGAGCGTCACCCGGCCGATAGTCTTGTCCGGGGCTGCGGCGTGAAATGCCTCGAGGAAGTCCCGCACCGCACTGGGGCTCTCGGCCTCGACGCACTCCAGTGAGGGCATCTGTTGCGCTGCCTCCACCGCTTTGGCGATCCGTGTAGATCGGAGGCAGAAGGCGGTGGCTTTCGGAAATGCCGTGGGCGTCACCGGCTGGGCAGGCAAATTGCGTGTGGGGTCCTTGAACCCCACGATGCGCACTCCGCTGGCGTAGTCAGCCACGAGCTTCCTGACGGTGGGGGAGGGGTGGGCGAGGCCCCATGTGACCAGCTGGTAGTCGATCTTGCCGATGTCGTGGAGGCACGGCATCAGCGGCTGGCTGAGGGCGTCAGGGTGCATCACGGCGTCACTGAAAGAGAGACAGGAACAAAAGAAACACACACGGCTGAAGTACGAGGCATGCAAGACACTCTCTCTGTGTGGCCGGCCTTACACGAGCTCTGCTGCCCTTTCGATCAGCTCTCTCGTCTCGGCTGTGTCCTCCAGATACCCCTCCTCGCATCTCTGCTCTCCGAAATCCAGCTGCATCTCACGGATGGTCTTGACGCACCCCCGGCGCACCAGCAGATCGCGGAAGCCCTGCATCTCGGCAGGCTCCCACTCAGAACCCGTGCTGTCACAGTAGACGCGCACGCGGCCGAGGGAACGCAGACCCGACAGCGATTGGCCCTCCGGCACCCCATGGAGAAAGTCGTCGTTTTCTGATCCACATCTGCACACCACGACGAGACGGTGTCCGTTCATGCCTGCCACACGGTACTTCCCCGCACCCATGTGTATCCGTCCGCCGTACCCGCGTATATCATACTCGAGCTTCTCCAGCCGGGTACCGTCCCCAATCCACTGCCGCGCCCCCTCAAACTCGTCGTCGCCGCTATAGGTGTTCTGGAACGTCAGCACTCGGATGTTGGGCGTGTGCCAATTGCGGCCCACCCGAGCAGCCGCATGCTCGGGCTGGACGTCGATGACGGTGGTGAGGGCGGGCAGGTGGACGGGGGAGGTGGGGGGCGGGCCGAGGGGGTCCCAATCACGAGCATAGCCATTGGCATCTTGGAACCGCAGTACCTGGAGTGTGGCGTGTGAGGGGGGATGGCGAAGGGGCGGGGCTCCGGTCTCCGTGTCATCATCCATGGCTGACGACGATGCGGCGCTGCTGCTCGTTTGCTCACTGCTGGCGTGGCCGTGCACCAGTCGGCTTCGGGGTGGCGGATGGTCAGTTCTTTGAGGTTGCGGCTCCTCTGGCCCCACCTATGCGCCATTTCGCACGACATTCGCTCCCATATGCCGCGCGTCTCGCCGTCATCGCTGTCGATCGTCAGGTGGGTGTACTGCTGGGCCGCTTGGTGAAAGATGTGCTTGCCGATGGCCGGCCGCAGCCGTGCGAGCTCCCAGGGCTGGAGGGAGCCGAAGATGCATGCACAGTTATCAGGGTTCAGGACAGGCTGCGATGAAGGCACATATGAATGTGAGTCGGTGTCATATCGTTGTGTCTGCCGGGTGTGTGTACACTACGTGTGGTGTGCGTACCGGTTCGTTGATGGGCTTGTTGCCGCTTCGAAATACGAGCCGATACGACGGAACACGACCCGGCGGCTCATCCTGACAGACACAGAAGAGAGCAGTGAGTGCTTCTGATGACAGCTGCTGCACTGCTCGTCTTGAGTGTCCTGGCTACCTGTGTCTGTGCTGGTGCGGCAGCGTCGCTGGTTTCCTCTTTCGGATGTAGCTCTTGGTGCGGCTCATCTGCCGTCGATGCGGTGAGTGCAGCCACGGCGCTTGCGAGCGGTATCCGCTGCAGTGCGAGCTGTGTGGTCACGGCAGCCATGTGGGAGGCCATCAACGTCATCTGGTAGCCCACATCTCTGGCCGCACGCAATGACGCCTGCACACAGCAACCGGACAAATGGATGGATGCGTGGATTGTGCGTACAGCTCTGCTCCCCGCTCCCTCATTGGCATGCTTGGCTCACCTCTGATGTGATGTGCGATGGCTGCAGCTGCTGCAGCTGCGACGCCATGTCGCCCACCTGAACCGACACCGCACAGCACAGAGACAGATGCCAGCGTCCCTGCTGCAACAAGGTGAATCCGCTGCCCATATAGCTCTGTTAGAAAGCCATTTAGGTCCGCGATACTACCCTCCAACGCCTTGGCACCATCCCCCAGCTGAAGACACAGGACGAACCAAGATGGAAATACCTCCCACCCACAGAGGATTTGAGTCTCCTTCCTCACCTGCGCGGCTAACGTGACGGCAGCGTCGACCTGGTGCTGGTCAGGATGCGATACTAAACTCCTACTTATCTGCACACACAACAACACAGAGAGAGAATGAGATGGGATTCCTCTCTGATGACGGATTTTCCGTTCGGCCCACGTCGCTTTGGATCTCCTGGAAGGCCCTCCGCACCTGTCACCATGTAGAAAACCACACAAATGATGCCGTTTGCGTGACCTCCTTCGGACTTCCATCAGGACCCTCACCTGGTGTAGGTCCATCAAGCCGGGACCCGAGCGAGGGGATTTGAGGGTGCCAGGGCCTCACAGATGCAGCTGGAGGCCTCTACGTGGCAAAGGAAAGCCAAAACGATGAGTTCTGTCCGATCATGCGATCAGGCTCGCATCCCGCGAGCGGGATCAATAGGAGATGGATTAGGGAAGTGAAAGGTTCAGACCTGGGCCCCTTCGCCGCGACTGTTGTCAGCACGGATGGCGACTGTTGCTCGTCAGAAATAGTGGGGCGGATCCTTATTTTGCCACACTAAAGGCGGAAAGAGCAGAGAATGAGACGCCGTGCCTTTGAGCCTCCACGCCCTTCAGAGGCGCCACCAACTGTGGAAATCGCGCCACCTCCATCCTGGGCCGCCCGCCCCTCCAGATGCCCATCAAGGCCTTCAGCTGTCCGAAGGGCACCAGTCGTCCTGTTTGCGAGCGTTCTCCTGCTGGCCTTTGCGCAGCGAGGCCTGGGGTTCTATGCTGGCGGGCTGGATGTGGACCCTCTCTTCTTGGTCTTTGACAAGGCCGGGACGGGCACCTCACAGACGCTGACCGTCCGGAACGCCATCGAGGACGTCACTGTGGCGACGTCCTTCACAGTGGTCAGGCAGGCAGGCAGGCAGGCAGGGAATCAGACGCTCTCACCTTCTCCCCTTGTCTGTTTCTTCTGTTGTGTGGTTTGTTTTGGCAGGAGGGGCCGTACGCGTCAGACTTTCAGATATGGGTCAAGGAGGGCGACATCCGGTCGATGAAGCCCAACGACACGGCCGTGGTGGGCATCAAGCTCAAGAGTCCGGTGCCGAGCGGGGCCACGATCATTACAGGAGAGCTGATGGTCAATATGGATGGAGTGCCGGTGGTGTCGGTGGGGCTGATTGGCGACACCAGCCCCTACAAGCAGGACGTCCTGAGCGGGCCCGACTGGATTGTCATGGGGCAGGTGCTGCCCACTGGTGAGTTCTCGCAGGGCGCGGTGGACAGCGTCAAGTTGGAGGTGGTCGATGGCGCCAAGGATGTCACCGTCGACACGATTACCTACTTTGGTGCTGACGGCTTCAAGGTGACTTACACTTACAGACACAGACACACGCACGTATGTGGCAGGCAGGCAGGTATCTGTGTGTCAAACAGATGAAGCTTTTGAGTGAGAATCCAGCGGCGAAGCCCCTAGTGGGCCCCCTGGCTGTGGAGGGCTTCACCAGCGAGAAGGGTGCCAATGTGGCTTTGAAGCCTGGCGGGATCATCAAGATGCAGATCCACTTTGAGGGAGAGGAAATGGGCACCAAGCACGCTTGCTTCGGGCTCAGTGGTCTGTGCACGCCCCCCCCCCCCCCCCCCCCC